AATTTTTGAGGTTATTAATAAAAACTACAGTGCAAGGGGTCCCCTTACAGGGGCTCCCCGTCCGCCCCTAGGTAAGTCCGCCCTGGTGACAGTCTTCAGCAGAAGTCAACCACAATTTACACTACATGTGGGAAATAAAACATACAACACAACTAAATAAAAACATTATATTTCATATCAACAAAATTACTTGTCGAGTTGAAAAGTACAAAAATATAAAACTATCCCTAAGCTTAACCTAACTAAATTAAACTATGTAGTAGGAAAACTGTCTTCTTTGCTATGTTTGTACTGTGTTGAGAACCAGTCTTGTCATCATAGGATACATTTAAATAAAAAAATAAATGCTGCAAAAAGCAACTGTGGATTAAAAGTTTATAAAAAACAAAACTAAGATGTACTGTTAGTCTAAGAATACAGACACAATAAGAAGCCGAGTATGAATGAAAATATTTCACTAGCACAACTTTCTAGAAGTTGTACAAGAAAGTAAAATTCATATATTTTTTCTTGTGAATATTTTTTACATCCTACACACAATAGAATCTTACTGGATTTAAACAATGATAACCTGGAAAATAAATGCATACTTCTTAAATTCACTTTGTTAAGATTTCATTGTTAAATTATAGTAGAGACTTTGTCATTGCTACTGTATTCTTACACTGAACAATCAATTATATGCCAAATGATATAGGCTCAACTAATTCCTTGAAATCAAAACCAAAAACTTTTAATATTTAAAGAGATAAATAAATAACTATGATAGTGGTTTAAATACCTTATTCTTGCAATCCGATTTGTTGTCTTCACAACTAGTTTCAACCTGCTAGGAGGTCATCATCAGGTGAGTACAAGGATGAAATTACTTCATATGAAGGTCGTCAGTAACATTTTTTATTTTTACATTCACACAATCACACGACGAATAGCAACTTCCGCATTCTCAACACGGGTCCGCTTGTCGAGTTCGATGTTTTTATCGGCCGTATATGTGTGCGCACTATGTGTTTATTCGTCGTGTGATTGTGTGAATGTAAAAAAAAAACTGTTACTGACGACCTTCATATGAAGTAATTTCATCCTTGTACTCACCTGATGATGACCTCCTAGCAGGTTGAAACTAGATGTGAAGACAACAAATCGGATTGCAAGAATAAGGTATTTAAACCACTATCATAGTTATTATTCGCAATCCGGAGGCTACTCACACCACAATGAAGTGATAAATAAATGTTTACAATGATAAAAACAATTGTTATTTAATCAAAAATTAAATTCATTACTTCCTGCTGATTTTTTTTACATTACAACCATTGGTACATTCAATTACCAACATTTTGTAGGTGCCATTTACAGTTCAAATATTTAATACAACTACACAAAATTGGGCTTAGTACTATAATTACAACACATTTGATTTTGATGCTTGGTATATATACAAAGCTAACTCATAATGATAATGGTTGATACAAGTTAAAAGAACTGATCATTTGAATACTGTACAAGTAAGACATTGGGTGAAATTTAATTACCCAGATGTAATAACCCAAACGTCGATCAGTATGTTTTTGTGCATTAACATCAATACAAAATGTTTTTGCTAAATATTTTGTAGATTTTGAATTGTTTTTCTTTGATATTGTATTCAGTGAGATAACGTTTCCTGGAAGAATGGTTTCATATAGTTCCTAAATTTACTCAAAACTTTAATGAAGTGTACATCTAATTTAGAACAATGAAGCCAAACTTGCAGAAAACATTATTAAATCCCAAACATTTGATAAATGTAGACTATATTTCTTTGAATTTCTCAGAAGAATTAGACAACACGGCTCTCATGGTTTTTTTTTATATTTACCTAAGATTTATGATCAGTTTTGCAATTTACCAGGTAACCTAGCACCTTTACAGCTAGTCTGTGTAAATCTATGATATTATAATGAATTACTTCAATCAATCAATTATTTTCCTAATGACTAAACAATCTATCTAAGTCAGTCTTCATTTAGCTGTAGAGTGTTACCCTTTAAGCTTAAACTATAAGTAGCGTTACAGAACGTAAACAAACCGGTAGTAAATATATGACAATACAACAATGAGGCACTGTATTTCAGTCATAATGCAACTATAACAGTTAGACATTTACTAAATGTTTTAGCGCATTGTTGTTTTTGTACTCGTTTTTCACAGTCAGCAATAACATCCCTTATAATTTGTGATACTGAAATACTACAATTTGTCATATCAAAATCTATATCCAAAAATTTAAGGGATGATTTTGCCAAGTGTGAATTTCCGTTGTGGATTCTCTTGCTAGGCTATTACATAAACAGTGTTTTAACTTTCCATTATCTATGAAATACGCTACTTTTTGGCTACATAGAAACACATTCACATTACAAATATTTACCTAACGCTATGAGAGTTACATACAAACATACAAAACAGGGTTGGAAGGGACAGAAGTGATGGTTTAGGAGTCGACCCTTCTCCAGGGCTTGTAATTTTCACATTTTCTACGCTTTCTTAAACCAAGATTCAAAATGGAATAGATTTATTAACTAGTCAAACCAAGCAACACGCAACATATTCTATAATATTTTCATACAATGCATATAAATGATTTTAAAGATTGTTAATCTTTACTGTATGCTTTTTTTAAAGTGTCCATAAAGCTTTGTTTTTAATTTGGCTCATAACCTCAAAAGCTGTATTTAAGTTTTTATTCTAAACCGATTAGATAATAATAGGTCATTCCATTGATCATCATAGGTAAGTGTTTGAACTTTTATTTAGCTTTTGAAATCATATTTATTTGGCTTCCTATTTCAGAGTGCACGATTTTAAAATGAATGTCAACAAAAAATTTCAAGAGGCGCCCAAATTTTATTTTAGACCCAAACCAATAAAAATATTACCATTTTGAACCTTGGGAAACACTTGTACAAAACTACATAATTTCTTTTAAAGAACAATAGTTACAGTTTTAAATTTAAATATATATTTGTAACTACAATGTAATAAATATATGACACTAAATTGCATTTTATTTTAAGCTCCGATAATTATTGTCACACAGTTTCTGTGACCTAGGTACTTTATGATTTATTTAGATAATTTAAAACCAATTTCACAGCACCGATTATTGGTTAAATTCGAAAACCACCAGCCAGCCATCTCGGTTGAGACTGGCGTGACTAGATGTTTGTAGTTACTCCTTTGTTGTAATTTAACACCAATTCAATTGCACATAATTTGTAATTCCACGCCTCTGTCCAATTGTTTGTAATTCAACTCCAATGTAATGTATAGTATAAACTCCATACAGTATAAGATGCAGGAACTGGGGACCTACTTGGGTACATGTGAGGTAGATAATGAGGTAGATGTGCTTTGTAAATAAAACCCAAGAACTCTTCAATTGGTAGCCAAGCCAAAGTTTAAATGCACACGTGTTTGGTACTGTTAACTGGAAAATTATGGAGATTATTATACAGTGTGTAAATTAAGTATGGAAACAAATCTGTATTTTTAAAACCAAAATAGATAGAAATATTCTATTTGTGGCAATAATAGTTAACAAAGATTCCGCAATTTTTCACATGAAAAATATTTTTTTACCCCCCTAACAGGGTAGGTGGTAGGGGGTGACTTATTTTTTTCAAATAGCAACCCCTATTGAGTGACCCCTCATTTTGAAGAGTTTGTCAAAAGAAACACAATGACGCAAATCCGAGGTGAATATCTCACTCCTAGCCCAAATGGCGGATATTCCAAAATTTGATTTATTGTACGTGAAAAGCACCAATTTCACAAATAATGGAAAGAAATCTGTATTTTTAAAACCGAAATAGATAGAAATATTCTGTTTGTGGAATTGATTGTTGACATAGGTTCCGCAATTTTTTTAATCAACAATATTTTTTCAACCCCTTTAACAGGGTAGGGGGTGGGAGTGACTTATTTTTTTCAACAACAACCCCTATTGAGTGACCCCTCATTTTGAAGGGTTTGTTAAAAGAAAAAGAATGACGCAAACCCGAGGTAGATATTTCACCCCTAGCCTAAATGGTGGGTAATGAAAAATTTAATTTTTGTAAAAAAAAGCCCATTTTGGAATATCCGCCATGTTAGCTAGGAGTGAGATATTCACCTCGGATTTGCGTCATTGTGTTTCTTTTGACAAACCCTTCAAAATGAGGGGTCACTCCATAGGGGTTGCTATTTGAAAAAAATAAGTCACCCCCTACCACCTACCCTGTTAGGGGGGTAAAAAAATATTTTTCATGTGAAAAATTGCGGAATCTTTGTTAACTATTATTGCCACAAATAGAATATTTCTATCTATTTCGGTTTTAAAAATACAGATTTGTTTCCATACTTAATTTACACACTGTATAGTATTGTAATCATTCTAGATTTTATTACTTATCTGGTTAAGTCATGTATGTAAAAATTTTAAAGAATTTCTAAAACGGTTGTTCCCTTTACCGTCAGCATGGTTTATGGATCTTTGGCTTGTCTACAAACTATTTGTTAACAAACTATTACTTATTTAAGTTTATCAACAGTTGTTATCTTCTAAGAATAATAAAGGGAATAAACTATTTTGGTTTGATCCAACTAATTCTTAAAAGCTTGTTTTTTCAGATAAACAAAAAGGAATGAGAGTAGAAAATTTCTCTATAAACTTTTCAGAAATAAATTTGTTGAGAAATCGCAATGTATACACAATGCAATAAATTAGGTGACTATGAATAGAACATTAAAACTCTTCTGACCATGAAAAATCTAGTTCATAAATTCCAGATTTTTGAACGTTTCTATATTGTAGAATAAAAATTGTGATAAAAAGTATTCTCATTAAACTATATTGTTGAAACTTGAAAATAATGCCAAGGAATTAAATAGGATGAAATTATCAAATTACCGATATCAGTTCTTATTTTGGTTTATCGGGAAATCTTTCATAGTTTTGTAAATAAAACTCTCATTTTGTAACCCTCAACCTTTTTGCACCTGTTTCTCAATTCAAAGTAGTTTGTAAATCTCGTAAAACCACTCAAACCAATACTACTCCCATTTCTACTGCCGAATTGAACAATAACACTTAAAACTATGAGGACCATTTTACCTAAATGCTGAAGAATTCTTGGTCATCTAAATCTAAACGTTATTCATTGGTATTGGCGGAGGAGGTGGCGTTTGTGTCGTTGCTGTCGATGGAGTTCTTCACTCCTTCGATGGATGATTTAGATTTGCAGTTCTGTTCTGACTCCTCTGATTCCTCCTGACTCTTCCTCCGGTTGGGACAGTCAGCTATGAGATGGTCCGTGGACTTGCAGTGATGACAACGCTTCGGCTGAGGACCCAAACTACACTTGGCTGCAATGTGATTGGCAAACTCCCCACAGTTGTAGCACCTGTAATAAAGTTAATTTATTAGTGATTTTAAATTCCATTTTATACACCTTTTAGCGAATTTCCCATATAGGGAATAAGCTATTACCGTAGTACTCATGGTAAGACCTGGACGCGGGACCGATTTTTTTTTTCGTTTTGAGGTCCCTAGAGGCCAAAAACACCATCCGTTCAAATTCATATATATATATATATATGTGTGTGTCCGTTAGCGCGATAACTCGAGCAAAAATGATCCGATTTTGATGAAATTTGGTACAAACGTGTAAACCTACATTTATTCGAACGAGTTCGCGATCCAGCATAATCGGACCATGGGAACAGGGGTTTATGGGGGGTTTTATGGGGTAAAAATGGGTTTTTCCCATTTTTGACCCTTAAAACATAAAATTTTAGAATTTCTTTTCCAACCATTTTGTAGAGCTTAAAAAAAGAAATAATTTAGTATATTATATTGGCAGTATATTGGCAATGGCAATGTTGTAGTTTACAACAATGCATTGTTGTATGCCTAACGGTCACGGAGAAAATTCAAAAAAATGCAAATATAAAATTCCCATGTTATTCTTATGGAGAAAATGAAAACTGTTGTAGTTTACTTGTTTATGGATATATGTTGATCAAATTTGGCAAATTTATTTATTTCATCCTATACTATTGACGTGTGGTCAAAAAACACTGTTTACCTTCCCCGTAGCAGCAAACCTAAGCACTCGTTATAAGTAATGTTATTTAAATTGCGAATAAATATGTCTTATTTATAGAAGTATTTTAGTAAATATGTAATCAGACAAGTTGAAATTCGCTTAGTCTGCAGGTTTGCTGCGGCGGGGGTATTTTATCTAATATAAGAGTTTTCTTAAAAGTCATTACATTATCGGGTTATAAAGATACTATTTGCAGTAGTGTCACCAGATTAAAACCTTATAACGAACAACAAAACACAAAAAATATCATTTACGAAATTCATTGCCCTTGTGGCAGAAATTACGTTGGACTTGAAAAAAGTTAAAAATAAAGATAAGGTTTTAAACACGTGCAACCTTGTTTTGGAAAAAAACCATACTGTTGAAAGGGGTTCATCTTGAATTCTATACAAGAAGTCAGATTAGAGGAAACGAAATACGGCAGAGTCGCTATTCATGGTGATAGAAGACTAGCCACTTTCATAATATTACATCTATGTATTTAAACATTGTTAAAGAAGATCTAGAGCAACTATGAGATATGGCCAGGATGTGCGTGTCTTATCTTCGTTAAACAATGCACCGACCCCTGTCGTCTTCCTCGAAGTTCAACTGATCCAGCAGTCGTGTTTAGGACATAGCGTGCGGGATGGATATAGTATTTCTTACCCTGAGGAAGCTGGAAATTTGTAAGGTTAAGCAAAACATAGGACTTGATTCCATGATGATTGTGTGTAATTTAATTTAACCTTCGTTAACCAAGGCCATAAATAGCACAACTTAAAGTAGTAGAAGATGTTTATAAGCTCAACTTGTATTGGTACTATAGTTTTAAACAAATAGAAGGTACTGGGTGAGCTCATAGCTATTGCTAAACTGCTTAATTAGTTGGAGGATTTATTGTTACGGTAAGAGTTTTGTTAGGGATATTACATAGCAACATGAATCTCATTGAATCTGGGCAGTTGTGCCCTCGTGATCAACAAGGTACATATCTCTTGGACTATGATAAAAGTGTGATAATTGCTCACTCCCCAGAAGACATAGAATACAAAATGTCACAAGGGAAAATTTTGAAGGGAACAAACTTCTTTATACATCACGACTCCCTCCTAGAAATACGTGTGAAGAGAGCGAGGCTAGATGCAGTGCAAATTCAGGTTAAGCGCGTGGCAGGGTGGCGATGTATGACGTTGGTATACAACCATGTTTACACCAACAACATAAGGTTCAGCTGGGAAGACGACAGACTGATGGCAGGCAAGGACGATGACGCAGAAAAACCACAGGCGATTTTCAAACACAACTTTAGGGAGGCCCTGGAGAAGGAAAAAACTGCACGATCACCGACAGATGTACGCTGAGGCAGCAGGAGTTAAAGCAACCTACGAGACTCAGAGCAGCACGGCCAAGCACACAACGACCGATCAGAGACATCAGGAGCTGGAGGATGGGGAGTTCTCTTAGAGGAGGCTGCGCTAATCCGAGGACCAGTGAGGGTGACGGGCAACGGACCAGCTACAAGGATATCGGTAAAAGAATATTTCTTGAAAATTTTAAGCTATAATGCATGTGGAATTGAAAACATGTTAGATGATTAATATTTTCCGGAAATGTTAAATAATGATTTAATTACATATACAGAACCACCTTTGCTACAGAAAACGATAAAGAGTATTTTATGCAGTAGGTTTAAAAATTACTCTGTTTACATTATAAATGCAAGTAGAGTAGCTCACATTGGTAGACACGAGGGAGGATTGGTTATTCTAATTTATTTAAAGAGTAAACCTTTTGCAAAAAGTCTAAATTATGTGTCAAGATTTTCCCATGGTAGAACTTCTACATGTAAATCTCTGTTGCAATTCAGGTAAAACAATTGCAATTTTTGCCTCTGTACTTAAACTACGGTGAATGGGATGATCGGTTTCAAAATTTGGTATTTTTTACTGAACTGCACTCTATAGTTGTGATCGCAGAAAAATCCTGAACACCTTTCTCGTTGTGTTGACATTATCATTGTCTACCGCGGTCGTGGAAAGATCAATTTTTTTCCTTAATCGTGTCTAATCTGATATATTTTCTGCGGTCTTGTAGACAAAAATCATCGTCTCCCTTGGCACAGAAAATCACCGGAAAATTTTTCGGATTTTTGATCATTGTAATGTGGTTTGGTCCCTATTGATTTTGATAGTCAGAGTTGTACTGTTTGGGTGTAGTCTTAGAAGGTTTTGGTTTGGGAATGCTCACCATCGTCTTCGAAAAAACACAGGTTGAGGTTGCCTATTAATACAGTACTTGATTTTTGCAAAAGCTGAGTGGGAACGCTTCCCACATGTTTCCGTTCTACTACACCACTGACTAACTAACAAGATCCTGTAGCTAACAAGATCCTGGCCTTAGAGTCCTCCAAGGCCAGGAGACATCACTATGGATTGAGGAGTTCATTTCTGTCTCCAGCAAGTCTGGTTATCGATTGATGCTGGTGTGTTTGTCCATAGTGGCAGAGCTTGGTCCCAACTGAAGTAAACAATAAATAGCTTTGAGGAATATTAATGGGATGGATGGATTCATTTTTACTTGTAACACTGATCTTAAGTTGTATGACTTTTTAGTTATCTTTATAAAAAGCATGTCTATAAAAAACTTATTTGATGTGAAATTTGATATTCTGTGTTCATAAAATCAGGGACATTTGTGATAAAATTAGACATGATCAAAACAATAATTCATCACTCTAAGGTCTAACAAATAATAAATGAAATTGAAAAAAAAAATATTTTAAGTCTTTTTTTTAGAGGTGGACTCTTTTAACCTTGCATTTGCCCACTCAGATGGTCCTCAGCCCTGTCCATGACTTATCCAGCAAAGCAAGGGGTGAGCCAGTGGCACACGCCAGTATCTGAATCCACAAATCACTACCATAGAACAAACCCTACTGACTGAGCCAATAACTCACCAAAGGGGTCTTTTATTTATTCATTTATTTATTTATTTACAGACGGAAAACTCCATTTTCCGTATCACTACCGTAGCACTACTCACCGTATCTTGCGAAAGCGCTTCTTAGCCACAGGTCTCCGCTGGGAGCCGACGCACGCTGAGCCCTCAGGTCCTGTTACTAGAGTCGCCTCCAGACCTTTGTCTGACGTCTTACACTCAAACTCCACCTCCTCTCCCTCTCCCAGCGAGCGGAACCCCGACATGACGATCACACTCTGCAAGTAATAAGAAATTACTAATTTAAACTGGATCCAGATGTACTTGGATTATTGAGATTTTAATAAAATTTATTAATGATGTGGAAAGCGAATAGGGACCTCTTGTCAGGAATTTTCAATTTTTAGTTATATACATATTTGACTTCCTTATTAAATTCTGAATAACTTGGTGCAAGTTCCATGCATCTACGATTTTTTTTGTTAAAGTTATAGGACTTTGAAACTTTGTTATTGAAAAAGGTAATTTTAAGAAAAACACTTTTGAAAATTTCAAGTACACATTAAAACAGTTTTTTTTTTCGTATTTAAGAAGAGATTTTGGTTTTAAAAGAAAGCATTAAATGAATGTCCTCTTTGGAGGCAAAACCAATTTTTGTCTTAACTCTCGGTAGTTTTCATTTAAATAATTGTTTTATAGAAACATGTCGTAAAAATCGAATTTCAGAAAAGGGACCTCTTGTCGGCCTTATGTTATTTCTCCATAAGATAAGAAAAGGTACCTCTTGTCGGGACCGCAAAATTTGTGAGATATTTTGTTCTCCCGTACACTGAACTTTGTTGTAGTTCTCTATATTTCATCTAGAATGCAGGACAAATGACTTTTGGCCTAAAATCTGTTTTAAAAGTGAATATTAGAAATGGGACCTCTTGTCGTTATGGCGAAATAACATTGAGCGACAAGAGGTACACTTTTCTCAGACCGTGCAGAGGCTAACAAAATGATTTATTTCGACCTTTTATGTCTTCAATTCGATATTTTAACCGATACTGTCCTGTTCTGAGGTATAAAAATCGATAAAAACTTGAATTTTGATATTTTTGACCTTCATTATTTATCGGCCGTACTGAAAATTTTGTATCGCCGACAAGAGGTCCCTTTTCGCTTTCCACATCAATGATCCTGGCTAAAGAACAATCTAATCTTAGTCAGTAAAAAGCTCTCATCTCATTCAATTGACACTCGTCAATAAACATCTTCGCCCCCTGATGTGGAAACAAATCAACATCAGTAAACAAAAACATCAAGAACTCAAGGCAACACAAAAAAAGGTAGCTTAACAATGTGACTTTAAGGTGTAGTAGAACCAAAGATACAAGGAATTCGGGGGTACAGGAAGATAGATTCAGCATTGGAAGTCTTTGACTATTTAATTAGATGTTGTAGATAAATGCGTATTTTCTGTACATTTTGCAGATCATCCAAGGTTGGTGAAAGACTGAAAGAGTGTTTGGAGCTATAGCTAGGAAGTTACAAAGGCCATTTTTTTAAAAGGTTGTTTCTGTGTACAGCTCTATAGTTCGCGTCTCTGCCACAGCAATGTTCCTCACCAGTTACTGGCATTACTTGTGAACATAATGACACCTTTACAGCTCTGTAGCTGACATGTACGCTTTGCTGTATGAAAATGTTCAAACTGTTGAATTTCCTGCCGCGTGCGAAATAAGATCAGTTATACTTTTTTTACTACAAGAAACACATCTGATGCAGACATTCATTGCCAAATGACTAAAGATTATGGCAATGGTGGAATGGTAAGGGGGAAATGGAGAAGGAAAGAGATAAATATTTGTGAGTAATATCTTTAACTCTCAATGGCTATTTTCAATTAATTTGTGAGCTGCAACGAGGTTCAAGAGAGAATCTGTTAATAGGAAATTAATGAAATAAAGAAATAATTAAAGGCTCGTGAATGTTGTTTGGAAACACAATATTGTGTTGTGTTGACTGGTATTGTAAATTTTTGCTCCCTGACAAATGTTTGTCAAGGCTCCCCCTTTTTTAACAAACCAGAAGATGCACAAGTAGACTTGTAAACCTTGATCAATTTTTGATCAAAATAAATGTAAAGTTTACGCTAAAGCCAACTCTTTGGATATTAATAGTTTTTTAAGTATGATAAATGGATTGTTTACCTGATGAACAAAGATATCCTGTCCTCCGTCGTCGGGGGTGATGAAGCCCCAGCCCTTGGCCACATTGAACCACTTGCAGCGGCCTCGTCTCTTCTCTGCCCCCACCCCCTCGTCACCAACACTGCCTCCTCCACTGGCACCACCAGGTGACCCTGTGGCACATCAGTCAACATTTGAAATGTTCATGCTCATTAAGGAGGATATTCTGGTCAAAAACATAAATTATGAGATAGCTATAAACCTAAACGCCTGGCCATGTTAGCCGCTAAGGGACTGGAGAAAGGGGGATACTTTTCTCTCGACTCTCGCTGTGGTATTCTATTTGCTCACACATTCTTAGGCTTTAAAATAAATTATAAAAAGTCATGTTAAATAATTTATTACATGTTATGGGACAGTCCTGTTCAACTTTAAAAACCTTGTTTTTTTTAAATTGTATTTGCGCACTATTTTAACTGCATCCGTTAAACTATGAAAATATCCTCACCTGAAATTGATTATGTCAAAAAATGTTCCTGCTTTAAAGGGTATACATTGTTAGGAACTATTTTTTTTTTATTGACTGACTTGTTTTTTTATTCCAACAGCAATTACTATTTTGCAAAAAATTACATAATATGCCTTACAGCATCGCTCATTTAGAAAACTGAAATTAATAAATTACGAGTATAAGCTAGTCATATATAATTACTTTATTAAACATTGTTTTCCAGAATGTGAAGCTACGAGATTATCATCATATGGACATATGGTTACAATTTAGGTACCTACACACACAATTATTGTGATTTGATGGAAAAAAATTTCGATGACAGATTAGTTAAAGTACACTCCATTTGTAGGAGGGGATGCAGGGACAAAAATAATTCCCTTTTTCGTAGTCCCCAGTGGCTACTTGACTTCCTGTTAACTCTACCTGAAAGACCCTGTGATAAAATATCAATCAAAAGTGGGTCATGACTTTGATACTAATTGATTGCTAAAAACAATACTTTCAACAGGGTTCTTATTGAGAGATATTCCATTCTCAATATACTGAAACAACGTGGGATAGGCAATTTATTTATAGGTATTGGCTATACCATATAGCAATCAGATTGTGTTTGCTATCTAAGGAAAAAAGTATAATGTATTTACAAAAGAAATCGTAAACAAGATGTTACTGTGTGTATTCTATGGCAAATAACATTTTAAAAGAGTGCTTATGATAATATTTACCATATGGGGGATAAACTGAATGCTGAATATAATTTCGAATTTGATTCTAAATACTTCTATTAAAAGTAGTCATAATTATCACCAATAACTAATTACGCTTTTGATTTTTCTTGATGTTTAAGATTTTTTCAATTTTTACTAGTAAGTCAAAATTATGTCTACCTTGTTGTCTTGAACTTTGTACATTTAAAAATAACACTAAAATAGAAATCACTAATCACAGGGATATTTAATAAATTTTATTGTTATACCTTTAAAAAGGAAAAGGTAAACATTATGACACTATACTTGTCATTTGCTCTATGTCTTTAATTTCAGTGGCAATAAATTGATGAATTATTGTTATGGAAGCATCATATTATATGGGCATTGGCAAAAATCATTTATACCATTGCAAAGGTGAGTATACTTATAAAAAAATTAGAGTCAGGAATAGGAATACTTACATTATATTATATTGCGAATAAAACGGTACCTATATCTGATATTTCGCATTTGAAAAATATTAACTTATTAGATAAAGTATTATATTGTCTGTGACTATACTGTATTTTGTAATTCTGGATTGTAACAGTACGCTGGTGCCATCTTTGAGTAATGTCCGAAACTACACTAGACTGCTAGCGCGCCTGCCGGCGTTTGAGGGTACTCCGTTGCGTTGCTTGCTATCTAGTGGTGATGGTTAGAACTACATGCCACAGAAACAATAACAGTAAACAGTACGTTGTAAAGAGATAGAGCACTTATTGTAAAGGAATTAATTGTCCAACTGTAATTTCCTGTTCCTCCACGAGTATTTGGAGAATATTTATTATATAATATATAATAATGGTAAAGATCAGCAATCCTAAAAAGAATTAAGGTTTCATTGAACAAAGTAGTTAAAAGTTAAAGCATTGACTATACCATAACTTAATAATTCAATGGCTCTAAGGCCTGGCGCACACGCGGATATCTTAAAAAATCGGCCAAAAATAAATCGCCCTTGATTTATGTCTAGGCGCACACGTGGCGATTTTTTAGTCGAGAAATTGATTTTTTTAGTGCGTTTAAGGTTTAAGCTATACTAAAATGGACTTCGTTGAATTAACCTGTGTTTGTGCTCTTCTAATTAGATCAAAGAAAAAAGAAGAAAACTTAAATATTAGGTTCATTCGATAGTAAGTCAGAGACTTTTAAATCGACAGTTTTATAAACTATTCAATTTACGTGATGACAGTAAAAAGTTCTAATTACTATATAATGTCTGTTGAAAGTTTCAGTTTTTATTATAATAAATAAATAAATAAAAATGCCTTTATTTATCAAGCGTTTCTCAGTACAACTGCTTTTTAGAACAACTTTCGTCAATAACAATAACCAACTAACAAGTAAATAAGGTCTTATAACAGCTGTGGCCATTTTTAGCAAAGAAAACAACACAACTCACACTGAAGTTCACTGACTCCTGTGGAGAACAACAAGCGACTGGCCGATTATTTAGTCGACCGTGTGCGCGGACTGATAACAATAGATATTTAATTGATATGAGGCCGGCAGACTTCATGCAATTCCGACGTACACGTAAGGTATTCTACACTACTAGTGATCAAAAGCAAACCTTTAACGGATATTAATACAAAACAGAAAATATGTAGTTTACTGAAGAACGTTCACATCTCTATTAGTTATGACAGCTATAAGTTATAGTTGTCAAAATTAAACGGGACTGGCGGCACTGGTAATCAGTCCCTTTTTCAAATGGGACTGTGATGGGTTTGATGTCAGTAACGCATTACACGTAGTTCCGTAAAGCGCCGATAGATGGAAGTCGGTAAGGCAGTATTGTTTTTCTCTATGAGGTTTTATTCATACTCTTACCTTTGCTTTATGATTTAATTATTAATGACGAATGTTCATTTGGATCACGATCGTACCTTTGTTCTTACATGTGATAAACCCCGCTGTAATTTCTGTTGGTTATTGTACTAGGTTTCGTTGAACTTGTGATTTAGTTCTCGCACCGAATCTTGCATTGTAATTTGACTATACCCCGTATGTGACGATAAAATTGTTGCTTTCTCTTCTTGAACTGATTGTATCCATCGCAATAATATTGCTCGGAAGCGATCTCTTTTTGGCCTAGTAGGCCTGAGGTTCATTTTTCTTGTTATTTGAGGCCGCTCACGGTCAAATTTTTGAACGGCCGATTGAAAAATCGGCCAAAAATAAATCGCCCTTGATTCATGTCCAGGCGCACACGTAGCGATTTTTTAGTCGAGAAATGGACTTTTTTAGTGCGTTTAAGCTATCCTAAAATGGACTTTGTTGAATTAACCTGTGTTTGTGATCTTATAATTAGATCAAAGAAAAAAAGAGACAACTTAAAAATTGGGTTCATCCGATAGTAAGGCAGAGACTTTTAAATCGACAGTTTTAAAAATAACTTCTTGATCAGCATTGTACGTGTTATTAAATTTACGGAAAGTAAATAAAGATACATCTTATAACACTTAAAACATATATTTACGCTTATACTGTTACTCACAAGACGGTAAATATACAAAAGATGGTAAGTGGTGATCGATTTCGATTGGAGTGTCCAATCGAAATCGATCACCACTTACCATCTTTTTTATATTTACCGTCTTGTGAGTAACAGTATAAGCGTAAATATATGTTTTAAGTGTTATAAGACGTATCTTTATTTACTTTCTGTAGTTTTAAAAACTATACACTTTACGTGATGACAGTAAAAAGTTCTTTAATTACTATAGAATGTCTGTTGAAAGTTTCAGTTTTTATTACAACAGCTGTGGCCTTTTTTAGCAAAGAAAACAACACAACTCACACTGAAGTTCACTGACTCCTGTGGAGAACAACAAGCGACTGGCCGATTTTTTAGTCGACCGTGTGCGCGGACTGATAACAATCTGTACGTTACAGATTTTCGGGCGACAATCGCCTCGCCTACGAATCTGTGGCAAAACCCAGATTTTAAAATCGGCGCAATTCTCGATCGCCTGTGTGCGCGCTTCCATTCAAATACATGATGCACAAATCGGCCGATGAAATAGTCGCCTGAAAATAATCGCTTGTGCGCCTAGCCTAAAATAATATACTACTTTATAATCACAATCCCTTTATCCTGCTGATTAATTTGTTAACTATTACGAAAATGTGAACCTAAAAGTGTAATTTAGAGCAGGAAATGTGCTAATGTCCTTTTGGGTAGGCTTCCAAATTACAAATTACCGCATTGTTATTGCACTTTTATTCGTAGCTGCTAAGAGAATACTTTACCATGAATATCCCGCTCGAAGGGCCAGAAACGGTAAATTATAGAACGGATGGATGGGGTGAGGGGGGGGGGGTAGAGCGCGCTGTTGGAGGAATGCTGCATTACCATACGTTGGCGCGGTGCATTCGACATTCTACAACATCTCAGGCGCACCGTGACTCATAGCATAACAAGATGGCCGTCATTGTGACATCGAGCCACGTGGAGCTCGAGCAGCACACTACTCCACTGGAAAGTGGAAATCGAGCATAGATGTTCAATAATTGTAACTTTTTTGTGACGTTGATGCATTTTGTGAGGCGTGGCCAGCTTTCGTGAATTTTTATATAAAGAATAAGTTATGCATAGCATTTGCTGTGAAGATTAAGTATATAATAATAAAAAGTAGTAAACAAATTAGAGGTTAATATTAATCTAGAGGAAAATTGGCATTGCCAAGTAGCTTAAATTATGTAGTTAAATCATTCTTGTCGACCTTTTGAAAATTTATTGCGCTTAAAAACACATTGCAGAAAAAATTAACCGGCTCGACTTCGACAATCTTAGATGGGACAGTATATATTTTTAATAATGTTTCTTTTAATGGCGATATTTGTGGGTATTTAACTTCCAGCAATTCACAAAATCATAAATAAATGTGAACAGTTAAAAAGA